GATTTACACGTCGAAGGTCAGTGCAGTCACGGTCTGTTGGGAACGTTTTGAAAAAGGTACATTATGTGATAGCTCTGGTGATAAAAGATAGAAACCAGTGCAATTGTTTGACTGACAAGGTAATTTCCAACATTTTTGTAGTCTACCTTGTTTCCTGATTGGGATTTTTGTCTTTATCGTGCTTAATTGGTTTCCGCTGGATGAACTTAAATCAGTATTCTGTTATCAGCGCTCCGTTTCGTGTTTTTGGTAGAACAGAAAAAACATATTCAATATTGGAAATGGTCTTAGTGACATTCAAAACATGTTACTTGTTTTTTCCGTAAAATTGAATCACTAATCAGAATTTTTCCCATTTTGATTCAAGTATACTATTGGAGTTGATTGAATAAATAAAATAGCATTTCGAATTCTTTCCCAGTCGTGGTTTTGTAATTCGTTTTTGGAGAGAAAAGGGCCATAACAAGTATTGTGTGTTTTAGAAATTTAGAATTCCATTATAATTTTAACTCTTACACTAATGATTGAATCCAAACACATAACAAAATAAAAACGTAAGTAGGTGAAATTCTGTAAAATTAATACGATTGTTGTGGATATTTGAAGTAATATGCAAACAATTTTCAAATATTTCTCTACTGGCTTGATACTCCCTTTTGCCCATTTTTTTGAAGCACTGTTACATCCGATGTTATTTTATTTTTTGGGACCCGAGAAAAGTTTTCGGCAGCATTTATTTTCACAGCTGTAGAGATGTCAATATAACCTTCGGCTATTGTTGATGATCACCAACCCCCATGCTTTTTCAACGTGATTATATCTGTTCCAGAGTTCACTAACAATGAACCAGAACTTCTGCGGAAACAGTGCCCAGTAAATTCTTGCAGGTTTGATAATTTTATAAATTTTCGCAATTTCAATTTTGCTTTTAACAACAATAAAGTGGATTTTTTTATTGCCATTCAAGTAAAACTTCCGAAAATGAGTTTCAGAGGTCATTGTTAAGAAGATTGTGAGCACTTCTCAGACTTATGAAAATTGGTACCACGGAAATATGTCTCTGAAAGTATCATAAATTTGTGCTTCTCAAGTATTTTGATTGTCAGCCAGTAGAGCATGTCTGGTCAGTTTCATTTCGGATGATGTAATACCTACACGGCCTGAGGCATATTTGATAAGCGATATCTTATTCGCAAAACATGTGAAATAAAACATATCGTATACATTAAGTCGCTTGTCAGCGTCAATAACAACAAACACGCGACAACGCCTCCTACGCCCAAACAAAAATTGTTGCATAGTCGTTTATTTTAAGTTCTGTCGCGGTGCTTTCGATTAAGTCATATAGTCCAGTGAAAATGGATTCATTCACTGATGCTGATAATGAATCAATTCATTACTGTGAGGCCCACGGTCTATAATTTTAGTTAACCAAACATAGACCTGCTAGGCAACGTTGGTCATTCTAATTGTAGTCTAACAATCTTTCGGTGTGATATTCTTCAAAGACTTACAGAACTTTGAAACTGTTTTGTAGTCAGTGTTTGACAACAGGTATTGATTCGATGAAATCACTTGCAATGATTTTCCTTGTAAGACATATCTTCTTCATTACCTTCCAGGACAGGGTGACCAGAAATCCAGACCAGAGACAATTTATTGGGTGTTCTTATAGAGGAGAAATTTTGGGCTGTTCAATACCATCTTGGACAAGATCTATGATAATTTCTTTTCATTTGTTCATGTGTGTGATTGGTTTCCGCCAAACTCTCCACAGTGACATACATTTCCGCCTGAAATAGACCGAAGAGGTCTCTAGGCAGACTGACTGGCTGAGAACACCTGCACCAGAACATGAAGTTATTTTATGATTCATCAGTGAACTAACTCCTATCTATTTTTGGTATATCCTCCTCTCGAAAGAATCAAATCCTCTATACTCGGAAGTAGAACTGTATCAGAGAAGTGTGACTGGCTGTTGAAAGCATCAAGTTGGTGATCTTTCCCATAATGCTGTGAGTTTCAGTCAGTAGTCTGCCATGTGCTACGCTTTGCATAAGCTTGTTTCAGGTGAGTTTTTACAGACGACAATACCTACATATTTAACTTTCGCTGTACGATTGAAGGAAAGTAGTCAAATAACCCATCTATTTCGGTTTTTCTGGGGTTGACAGGTATCTGCTCGATCTGACGCTAACTGTGGACGTCATCCAATGTGCTTTTATGGATATTGCAGAGCATCCTTCTTGGTGTGGTCATTATAATGATGACAAGGTGATTAGTTTGCATGGGCATCAGGCAAAGTATCTTTCATGAGTGACCACAGAAAAGAAAACAGTACTCACTCCTGAAGGCAGCCTTTGTTGACCTTGAACTGAGACTTCATCTTAAGGAGTCGTAGCATCTGTTCGGTTTTTGAGCATTACATAGATGCAGCGAGTAATGGTGGATCATATGCCTTTTTTAGCCAAAGCTAATACATTTGATTTGGACAGTGCATTCTTAAATAGTTCTTCGATATCGAAATATGGTGTAGCTCAGGGAACTAATTATATTCGATACAAGCCTTGACATCACGGATCTCAAGTAAGTCAAGTATTTTTACAGAAAGACAGGTCATAGAAAGTGTTACGGTTAGGAATATATACCAGCATGAACTTTTTTATTGACAATAATTTTTTATCTCAGGTAGGTAGGGGATAAGTCTGAAATGAGTGGATCTATTCGACCCTCTACTGACCCACGATCGATCAATGTTGCTCACATCTACCATATCGATCAAATTAATTCACTTTCTTTATGAAGCCGATTATTTTTATTCAGTGAGTGATCTTTCAGGTCAGCTGGTAATAGTGGCCAAACGCTGAAAACCTTATTCGGTTCGCGACAGGGCACTCACAGACTACGTGCAATGTTACAAAGGCCAGAATTTCCAAATGAAAAATAATCCCCAACAAGGTTTCAAATCATGATACATTTTTCTCAATCTAGAGAACCTTCCAGAGTTCTCCAAGAGTTAAATAACCGAAGATCTCGGTGTAACAACGAGGACTGTTGGGGTCGTTTGATCAACCGGGGAACTGAGTATCCTTTTGTCCTGATCCTTTGATACACTTGAAGTCGTTTAGTTCACTATAGGCTCAGTTTCCGGGTTTTGATTACTCTGCAGTCAATAGGGGGTCTCACGAATAGCTAGGGAAAGAAAGTCCACAACAAGGCTTGATAGACGAGAAGGTCGCCCAACATCTGGAAGTGACACTGAATGGACTCAGTCATACATCCTTTCGGCACAGATATACACACCGGATGAAGCGTCATTTAAGAGGACCATGAGAACAACACCAACCGCGGCAATGGAATTAATTACGGGTCTGACCCCTCTGGACCTGTACGTTAAGGAGGTTGCGTTAAAGGCCATGGTACGATTGCGTACGGCTGGTGTAAACCTCGAAGTAGAAATGGGTCAATTGAGGCTGGGCCTATGGCGGGAAGTGCTTACTGCGCAACCTCTGCTGCAGGCAACTAGTGATGCAACTGAACCCAGGTTTGTGTTTAATAAACCCTACAAGATACAAATAAAACAATACAGAGTCACATGCTACAAATGCAAAACGTATATTCAGTGACGGCTCATAAACCAAAGAAGGCTCAGGATGTAGATCAGTGTAGTAGTTTATAATTTTAGCTTTACTGACTATTCCTAATACAATTACTTATGAAATTGTCGAACAGGAAAATAAAGGATTTGATTTGATTTGATGTGGAGTGTATTCCAGATCACTAAGCCTAGGGATTAAGTGGGGAATGGTAAAAAATACCAGCGTGGTCCAAACAGAACTGGCTGGTATCTCAATCGTCGCAAAAGAAATAACAAGGAAAGGAATTTCTGACAAAAACATAACAATCTGCACTGACAGCAGACAAGCCCTATTAGCATTGAACAGATAACGTATAACGTAACGTATAACTAGAGCACAAGATTCAGCCAAAGCCTCGGTAGATAATAACATTATCCTGAGGTGGGTTAAGTGGCACGATAGGAGTAAAGATAATCGCATTGTCGACTCTTTAGTCAAGGAAGCGGCTGGACTAAGAATTTTAGGACCCAGTGGCACATACAGCCTGATGACTTCGACAGTTGCGGAACTAGCCAAATGTTACACCCATGCTCAATCCTTAAAGAGTTGGGATGGAATCAAAGGATGCAAACTTGCCAGGATCACCTTGGGCGACTCTGGGAAGCTGACGCCGAAGAAATATCTGGCGGTGACCAGGAAAAATCTACGCTTAACAGTAGAATTTCTGACTGGCCACTGTCAACTAAGGAAACACCTCCATAATATGGGGCTGGTAGAGCCACCTCTAAACAGAATGTGTGAACAGGAAGATGAGACTGTCAAGCATATCCTATGCGAGTGCCCGGAGCTATCGTCAATAAGAGAGTGTGTGTTCGGCGAGTCTTGTCCTACACTTGGCCGATATAAAGGAGATGTCTCCCAGTGACCTGCCCATCTTCCTGGAAAGGACAGGATGGACGATGACCTAGGAGGACAACTCCTCGGGAGGATGTACAATGGGTCACATGTGGCCTAAGTGCTGTGGGCTTACACTCACCCTCCCTACTCTACATATACAGATACCGAAGAGGACTCTTACTTCCCCAGATGACACCTTACCCGGCAGATCTTTTGTAATGTCCCCCGCTGCACTGCGGCTTATTTCAGGGTGTTTTACAAATTATTGTTCGGATTATTTTTAGTATTTTTGAAAATTTACTGGACAAGAAACATTCTCAATCACTTGCAAGCACAGGTCATGGTTTTTTGAGATTGAAAATGCAAACTGACTTTTGCATTTTCAGTGAAATACCTAGTTTTCCAAGAGTATTGAACCACTGATTACTGCACAGCTATTTAGAGTTGTGTCGCGCTGCCTTCGCTTTAGGCAAAAACCAACTGCGACTCTGCTTCACCGACCGAAGTGTCATTCAGAACAGCGGACACAATCTCCATATGCACTAAGTCAGTTAGTCGGTAAGGCATTATTGCACCGAGGAGTCGCCGTGAATCGTATCTCCGTCGATGCAGTGGGAGTGCAATACGCCTTATCTCGCTGCATTCGTCTGGGTTATTATTATTGTGAGTGTGTGCCGGGTTCTAAACTCTCTAGCGCTTCTATTAATAATAACGGTGGATCCTGGAGCTGGATGTGCATGCGATAAGCGAGTCGATAGTCGGCGATTAGAATTGTGAAAATCAGAAGTGCGGATAAGTTTCGAGTGGATGTGCCGCTGAGGATTTCGGCGATGTGAGTTTGGTGGTTTCAAGAGGTAATTTCAATTCCGAGACCTCTCTGGAGGTATGCTATCTGCGAAACGGTCTTCTGCCGGTTCTGTGAGAGATACAAGTTTGTGCTGAAGTTGATTCGTGAATATTTCAATCGGATTTCTTTAATAATTGAATAGAACTGGCCGATACTTGATGAAAATCCATATTTGAAAAACTAATCAATAGAGTTTATTCTATGATTTTCACTATAAGGGTTTTACAAAAACCGCGACACGTGTTTCGCTATACAATAGCTTCTTCAGGCATAACTGAGAGTTAATTCTAAATTACAACCTTATATACTATAACCTAGTACCTATTCGTCTACCTAAGTAATAAATCTACCTGAAAAAGTATATACCTGAAAAAGTCAGGTATCAATACATTTTTCAAAAGTCTTCCTGTAAATATACCTAACTATTATTACCTGCGTGTGAACAGATTCAATGATGGCGAATTATTCAATTCAGTTTGATCGTTCATAAGATGGTGAGATTTTTAGAATTTGTTTATTTCCATACTCTCCAACAGGTTAAGTTTCAAACCTTTCTTTTGGGAATGGAGGGATTTGTATTCATGGTTGAACTCATGTCCCTCTGAGATTAGATGACTGGCATATGTGGAATTTACTTTTCCGTTCTGAGAACTATATTTGTGTTCCTTTATGCGGGTAAGTTTTTTCTTCATTTCATCAGGGTGTTACAGAGATAGCTCCTAGTGTACTATTATTCTTCAGGTCAATATTTAGCAGCCTGTGAGAATATACATGATTTTTCTTAATAATCTGCTAATATTTGAGAGATAGACAGAATATGTTCATGTTTGATTCCCAAAATGGATATGGCTCGAAGGTCTTAATTCTTGGTCTTCATGGTAATAAAATTTTAGGTATTTTTCTATAGTAACTTCAGTATGATTATAGATTTTTTTGTGAAACGTGCTATTTTTTATGCATTAAAAAGCATTGTTTGCTGTTTGAAGGTGGTTGACAATGTTTCATGGTGAATTTCATGAGTTAGGGCTTATATAATCTGTATCTGTAGAGTAGGGAGGATGAGTGTAAGCCCACAGCATTTAGGCCACATGTGACCCATTGTACATCCTACCGAGGAGTTGTCCTCCTAGGTCATCGTCCATCCTGTTCCTTCCAGGAAGGTGGACAGGTCACTGGGATACATCTCCTTCATATCGGCAGGTGAAGGCCAAGACGCGCCGAACAGAAATCCTACTGTTAAGCGTAGATTTTTCCTGGTCATCGCCAGATATTTCGGCGCCTGCTTCCCAGGGTCGCCCTTTGATTCCATCCCATCTCTTTAGGGATTGAGCATTTGGCAAGTTCCGCAATTGTCGAAGTCATCAGGCCGTAGGTGCCACTGGTTCCTAAAATTCTTAGTTCAGCCGCTTCCTTGGCTAAAGAGTCGGCAATGCGATTACCTTTACTCCTGTCGTGCCCTTTAACCCATCTCAAAATAATGTTATTATCTACCGAGCCTTTGGCTAAATCTTGATCACACTCTAATACTAGCCCTGAGGTTACACGTTGTCTGTTTAAAGCTAATAGGGCTTGTCTGTTGTCGGTGCAGATTGTTGTTTTTACCAGAAATTCCTCTCCTGCTTATTTCTTTTGTGGCTATTGAGATATCAGCAGAGATTATATGATATGAATTGATTTGAAATCCCTGAAAGAATCGATAAAATTTAAAAAAAGAAATAAAAATTGAAAGATTTCAAACCAATTTATTTCACGACGTTTCGATTGTTAGTTTCCACGATCGTCTAAAACTAAAAATTGAAAGGTCGTGAAGTAACTTGACTGGAAATCTTCCAGTTTTTATTTCTTTTTTATTGTTCAATTTTCAATTGTTGCTTGTATTTTATTTCATTGCAATTTCATTTCAGGGTTTTTCTGCTCAATATAATTGTTTTTATCAGCTATTCATTTTAATCTTATTGGGTTATTTTAGGGATTTCACATCATTTTATATCATATTAGACAAGTCCGAACTAATGGCATGGTTTGCTGTTTTATTCATCATTTCATTCATTTAAAAAAATGATACGCCACTGTTTTCGGAACCTTAGCAAGTCTGGTCTAGTAATTATTTTTGATTGAAATGCACATTTGCATACTGTTAGGAAATTGAGTATTAATGAGGATTGAAATCGTATTTTGTTGGTAACAGATTTTGTTTTGTAAATAAAACAGTTCGTGAAATTTTGTATAGTCTAAATCATTCCATTTTGGAAAAAAATGTAGGTGTACATACATATTTCGACGTGTAGATTACGAATCCAAAAAAATCGGCTCTCTTCTCATTTCCAGAGTTACAGCTTTCTAAAGTTCCGAAAATGTCACCTTTTCAGTATTTTTTGTAAATTTTCAGTTTAATAATCAAAATTTTTCTTATATTTTTTTTTTATTTTCACGAAGCTGTGAAGCTGTTTGAAGTTAATGTCATAGTCGGCATCTGTTTTTGCCTTTATCGTTGAGATCTTAAATTGTTTTTTGACCCTATATTATATTGAGTGAAAAATGGCTTTAAGAAATGAATCAACATTCGAAACAACATGTCGAAAAATTAATCAAAATAGCATTTATTGCATAATTATTTTGATGGTTTAATTTTGTACTCAATTTTGTAGATAATGCGTTATTATGGATGATGCAGGATTTTTTCAGACCTCAGAAAGAATAGCCAATCGAGGTTTTGTAAATATACTGAAGGAGTTAAAATAGGCTCATTTTTCTTTTTGAACGGGAGCATTGCTTTTGCACTACTTTTGAGTTAGGATCAAAGGAATGTTCCTCATGTTCAACTACTGTTGAACGAAAAACCTGTACTATAATTGATTAGATGACAAAAATTCTCTCTCACTTTGAAACTTTGTTCAAAATCATGTCTAATATTTTCATAAATTATTCGCTTCAAAATGGACATTCAAATCATGTTTCGATAGTAGTACAACCCGTGCTAGGAATCGCATGTTAAAATATAAGACCTCGTTAGGTCGCTGGTTCAAATCCGGCTCGAAGGACCAAAAAATATGTTGCAAATATTACCTAATTTGGTTAAAAAATTCACAACTTACCTAACAAAATTTTTCCGAAAATTGCTCCCCAACAAACAAATAACTGAATTCAAATGTATCACGAATCGATGAAACAATAATAATAATATATCATGAGCTTCTTCTATCATAAACTCAAGGAACATACTACTTCGTACATACTTTTTTCGTACCAATACGGTTCCTTTTCCTTTACAAAAATGCGCGGTTGCCGAACTATATAATTTGTTCCTATATTTACAAACTTCGAACGATACGGAACAATTAGCTCGCACAAGTTTCTACTTTTGAGGGTTGTCCTTCGTAGGGGGGCGATAATTGGTTGACGGAAAAACAGATTTTAACATATTCCAATAGATTTTTCAACAAAAATATGTAAATCATACATAGAGGTTACTTTCAGATACAAACTGCAAGAAAAAGGCTCTTCGAAATAACAACTTCCATATAAACATTGAATTAAACGAAAGAAAAAGTACTTTAGAAACAGCTATGTTCTGTTATGAGAAAGAGCATTGAACTATACAAAATTCACTTTTTCCCATTCAGTTTATACTTCAAACATTCATTATTGAATTTTTTCTGTCATAGAGAAGCTACACAATATATCAATAAATCAATCAATCAATCAAAGCATACTTTATTGTTTGAAGATATACATCTTATTGACGAAGTCTAAGAATCTATAGATGTATAGATGAAAATTTGTCCACAAAGATGCAATACAAAAGATAAGGATGGTTATGATTCGTGAAAGTATCAATGCAATAAAAAATTATATGAAGAATAAATATTGAATTAACATGGTATTGAAAAGTTTAATGAAAATACTCACTCAAACAATAACAGGGTGTATCGACGAGCATATTATTCACTCCTTTTGTAAATTGAACAGTGCTTAGGTTCGCAGACCTCATTTTCAACGGTAAATAATTGAATAATTCACCCCATAATAGTATATGGAATCTTTGAATGAATTCGAGGGGGGGAATTTGGAGTCTGAAACTATTTACTCCTGCGAGTATGGAGCGTGGAAACAAAATTTGATTTATGTTTGTAAATCAGGCAAACTCTCTCCAGAAAGAAATGTCCAATAACTGTTAAAATTTTATTGTCAGTGGAAAGATTTCTGCAGGACTCTCCAGAATTGGCTTTGCACAAACATCTCATACCTTTTTTCTGCAGTATCATCACAGAACGGAGTAGGGTTGCATTGGATGCTCCCCAAAATGTCACAGTGACAGCGATGAAAAAAAATGAGTACCCAATATACTACGTCTGTTACAAAATAAGATGAATTTTTCTCGAAAAATATTCATTTATTCATCAGTTTCTATTTTGTCTCCTTCAAAATAGTCCTCCTCAGATATAACAAACTTGTGCCAGCGTTTTTTCTTCCAATTCTCGGAGCAGTTCTGATATCCCCTTTATTGTATGTCCTTGAGGTCTCTCAGCGATTCTGTTTTTATCTCTTCAATTACCGTAAAACGCCGTCCTTTCATGGGTCCCTTAAATCTTAGGAACTGGTAAAAGTCGCAGGGAGCCAAATCTGTTTAATACGATGGCTGAAGCATGATTACGATGTTGTTTTTGGCCAAAGAATTACGAACCAGTCGAGTGAGCAGGTGCATTTTCGTGATGCAAAAGCAATTAATTGTTTTTCCACAATACCGAACATTTTCTTGGTATTGCTTCATGCAAGCAGTGCATAACTTCAAAATAATACTCTTTATTGACCGTACGACATGTGACAGGAACTCCTGATTTATTACGCTATGGTAATCCAAGAAAACCGTGAACAAAATCTTGACATTTGATCGAACTTGGCGTGCTTTTTTGGTCTTGGCTATCCTGTGCTCTTCAACTGGAATGATTGGACTTTGGTTTCGATGTCATAACCATATACCCCTGATTCATCACCAGTTATAACCCTCTCACCAACAAACTAAACATGCTAAACAG